ACAAACAAATTCTTGTTTGTTCAAAATATATTTCCGTCCTCATTCGTGGGTTAAAATATCCTCAAACAGCCCCACCACCCCAAAATTAGAACAAAAATCCGACCGCTTTCAACCATCAGACACCACATCTCCGCTTGACCCAAAATACCAATCCCCAAAATTATCCACAAAACTATCAAACTGCACAAAACGTCCCAAGCCCTTCCATAGCCCCACCCCTCCCCAAAAGAACAACATTCCAAGTCCCCGTCCCGGCCGAGCATGAGGTGCACAGCTCTAAGTTGGACCATTACGAGGAGCAGGAGAAAGAGTGGAGGGCGAGGGAAGAAGCGAAGATAGATAAAGGAGGAGTTCAAAAGGGCAATGAGAATATTGCAATACATTCCAGACGTCATCGGGTTAAGCTACGCAGAACTGTGCATCCACCAAGACCTGAACCTGCCTGAAGGGTTCAAGATCCCGAAGTTTGATACCTTCGGAGGGGTGGGCAACCCCATGGCGCACTTGAGAGCATACTGCGACCAACTCGTGGAAGTTGGCAAAGATGAAGCTTTGCTGATGAGGTTGTTCAGCCAAAGTCTGTACGGTGAGGCCCTGGAATGGTTCACATCGCACGAGACTCGACAATGGCCCAGTTGGAGCGCCCTGGCTAAAGATTTCATTGACAGATTCGCGTAAAACGTTGAGATAGCCCCTGATCGGTACTCCTTTTAGAAAATGAAGCAGAAATTCATAGAGAGCTATCGGGAATTTGCATACGGATGGAGGAAAGAGGCAGCGAGGGTGAGGCTTCTGATGACAGAGAAGGAGATTGTAGAGGTGTTCGTATGGGTGCAAGAACCCGAATACTATGAAAAAATCATCTTGTTGTTCGGCGCCAAGTTCACCAAGATAGTCAAATTGGGCGAAACTATCGAAGATGGCCTAAAGTCGAGGAAGATAGCCCGAGTGTCCGCTTCGCCTGGATCTTTCGAACTTGTGAGGAAGAAAGGAGAGGAGGTTGCCTCTATTTCATACGGGGGAAGAAAAGTCCTTAGAAACTCCTCACGTCCTCAAGACCGCCCCAAGCCTCCACCAAAGTCTCACCAAGCCTATCACCCACAATCTCATCCCTCCAACAACTACAATGCTGCCCCCACTTATCCAGATGCCCAAATTTTGTCATATCAAAATCCACCCCCAAATTTCCAAAATTTCCCCTCCATGTATCCAAATTACCCCCAAGCTTATCAAATTTCTCCACCTTACCAGAATGTCGCTCCCAGTTGCGCTAACGTGCAACCAAGCTATCGAGCACCCTCCCCCACATATCAAATCCAAACTCCAGCATATCAAAGACCCCTCCCAAATTAACAATCTCCAGTGCCAAATTACCAGACAAATCCCTACCCCAGGACCCAAGCTCCTCGCCCAAATGCTCGCAACTATCAACAAGTTCCTCCCCCTCAACAGAGCGGGTATGATCCTTCTCGTCCCAGGTTTGAGAAGAAGCCCTCCAGAAACTTCATCGTGTTGGCTGAAAGCAGAACCAAGTTGTTCGAAAGATTATTTGCGGCCGGATACATCCACCCTGTGGGGCCCAAGCCCGTGGATGTCAACTCTAGATTCTACAAACCGGAATAGAGATGTGCTTATCATTCCAACAATGTTGGACATGACACTGAAGACTGTATCAATCTTAAGCACAAGATCCAGGATCTGATTGACCAGGAAGTGGTCTCCCTCCAACCCGCGGCGCCGAACGTCAACATGAATCCATTGCCGAATCATGGGGGTGGAAACATCAACATGATAGAAACAGACGAAGATGAGCGTGAAACCAAGAGGATTACTCCTGTTGAGCAGGAAGACTTGGAAAAGGCTGTCACTTCTTTAAGCGTCAGGGAAAAAGGAGAGTTCGTTATTCTGACACCTGCAAAGGCTGTTGCCTTGGTGCCCTCGAAGACTCTCGCCTAACCCAAGTTTGTCATAAAAACGGCCGCAGCCCAAGGCATGACTAGATCTGGAAAATGTTACACTCCTGATGAGCTTGCTCTCGGAGGACAAAATAAAGATCATGCCAAGAGACCCATAAGTGAAGAAGAAGCCGAGGAGTTCTGGAGGAGAATGCAGCCCAAAGATTACTCCATTGTCAAGCACTTGGAGAAGACTCCAGCCTAAGTTTCTGTGTGGGCCCTACTGATGAGCTCCTGGTCCCACAGACAGGCTTTGATGAAAGCCCTGGATGACACGTACGTGCCCTCAGGTACAAGCAGCGACAACGTAGCTGCCATGATTCACCAAGTCATTCGGGGACACCGCATCAGTTTCTGCGATGATGAATTATCGGCCGAAGGGAGATCCCATAACAAAGCTCTACACGTCACTGTGATATACCGCGAAAAGGTCGGCAATCGTGTTTTGGTAGACGATGGATCTAGTTTGAACATATGCTTCTTGTCCACATTGAAGCAGCTAAGGTTTGACCTCAGAAAGTTGGAGCAAAACCAGGTTAATGTAAGAGCGTTCGATGGCGTGCAGAGCGACACATTAGGAGCGGTAAACTTGACCATCCAAATGGGCCCCACGGAGTTCGAGGCAAAGTTCCAAGTATTGGATATCGACACCAGCTATAACCTTCTTTTTGGAAGGCCATTCATTCACATGGCTGGAGCCGTCCCCTCCACTCTCCACCAGATGATGAAACTGGTGAGGAAAAATGAAGAGCTAGTTATTCATGGTGAAAGAAACCACTCAGGAAAGCAGGTGCCAGTCTTTGACGAGACGCTACAAGGCTCGGATTTTTACACGGTGGAGTTGGTAAATGCCACCGATGAGGGCTTGGCCCCGCAAACTCCCATGTCAGTCGTGTACATAATGATCGCCACGGTAATGCTGCAGAATGGGTTCGAACCAGGTTTTGGATTGGGATGAAATTCCCAGGGGATGATCGAGCCAGTTCCGGTCCTTGCTACAGGATCAAAGTATGGTTTGGGGTATATCCCCACAGATGATGATGTGAAGATAAAGAGGAAAAAGGATCAAGAGTTGGCCAAACCGATCCCGCATCTGTATCAATCCTTTCCAGTCTGGGAGCATGTCGAGCCTGAAGACTGTGGGAAGGAATCTGTGACCTTTTCAAGGAGATCAATGCTATCATCGAGGAGGAGGTCGAGCCAGCTGCCATCCGTGATGCAGAACCAGGGGAGATGCTGCAGAATTGGACTTCCACGCCAATCCTGATGTCCCAGACTCTTTGGTAGAAAGGAATTATTTTATGCATAGTAAAATAGGTGGTCATCCGGAAGAGGCCCCAGACCCACCATTTCTGCATTTTCTTAATTGCTTGAATTTTGAATTTTCATCGTGATGTTTAAAAAAGGGCGACATGGCCCTGTTCCATGACCCAAGTTTGCATTTTGATTTGAATGAAAGCCTCCTTATTTTGACTTTGTTTATTTAATTGCTTGTTATATTTTACTTTCCTAATTTTGTCTGTTTATGATTTCAGTAGCGTAAGTTACAAACCTGCCAATGTTGTGTCATGTCATGAGCTAAATGAGCAAAATGAGGCAAATAACGACGAGGTCGATGGCTACGACGAAGAAAGTGGGGAACCGGATTATGTGGCAGAAGAATTTTGATAGTTCGAGAATCAACATAAACCGAATCTGGAGGAGACAAAAACGGTGAATTTGGGAGATTCAGAATGTGTCAAAGAGGTTAAGATCAACACTCATCTGAATGAAACTCAGAAGGAGAGCCTGGTTCATTTGCTTTCTGAATACAGTGAGGTGTTTGTTTGGGAAGTCGGTGATATGTAGGGTTAGAGTAGCGATGTCGTATCTCATAAGCTACCTATCAACCCGGGGTTCGAGCCGGTGAAACAAAAGACTCGGAAATTCAAGCCTGAATTGATTTTGAAGATTAAGGAGGAAATCACCAAGCAGATAGAGTCTCGATTGGTAGAAGTAACACAATATCCAACCTGGTTGGCCAATGTCGTTCCGGTCGCCAAGAAAGATGAAAAAATCAGGATTTGTGTTGACTATAGAGACCTCAACAAAGCTAGTCCGAAGGATAATTTTCCATTGCCTAATATCCATATTTTGATTGACAACTGTGCCAAACATGAGATGCAGTCATTTGTGGACCGTTATGCAGGGAATCACCAGATTTTGATGGATGAAGAAGACGCGGAAAAAATGGCATTCATCACACCTTGGGTGTATATCACTACAGGGGGATGTTTTCAGCCTCAAGAATGCCGGCGCCACTTACATGAGAGCCATGACGACCATTTTCCAGGACATGATTCACAAGGAAATTGAAGTATACGTGGATGATGTCATAATCAAATCCCGCAAGAGTTCAGATCATTCGACGCACCTGAGAAAATTCTTTGAACGTTTGCGTCGATACATTTGAAGCCAAATCCCGCCAAATGTGCTTTTGGAGTCCCAGCTGGGAAGTTGTTGGGGTTTATAATTAGCAGAAGAGGTATTGAGCTCGACCCTTCCAAGATCAAAGCGATTCAAGAGTTACCTCCGCCGAAAACGAGAAAAGAGGTGATGAGTTACTTGGGAAGGTTAAACTATATCAACCAGTTTATAGCACAATTGACAGTGGTATGTGAGCCTATTTTCAGGTTGCTGAAGAAAGACGCCCCGACTAAGTGGACTGAGGAGTGACAGACTGCTTTCGATGCTATCAAAAGCTATTTGTATAACCCACCAGTATTGGTTCCTCCACGAGAAGGGAGTCCTTTGTTACTGTGTTTATCTGTTTCAGATAGTGCCTTTGGATGTGTACTTGGTCAACACGACGAGACAGGGAAGAAGGAAAGGGCTATCTACTACATACGCAAGAAATTTACTCCGTACGAATCTCGCTACACTTTGCTGGAGAGAACATGTTGTGCTCTGACGTGGCTTGCCCAGAAGCTGAGAAACTATTTGTCATCGTATACCACACATATCATTTCAAGAATGGACCCGTTGAAGTACATTTTTTAGAAAGCGATGCTGACCGGGAAGTTAGCTAAATGGCAAATGTTGTTGAGTGAGTTTGATATCGTGTACGTGACTCAAAAGGCAATAAAAGCACAAGCTTTGGTTCATCATCTTGCAGAAAATACCGTTGACGAAGAATATGAACCTCTCAAGACATATTTTCACGATGAAGAAGTATCATTTGTGGGTGAAGAGATTTCTGAAGCGTACCCAGGTTGGAGATTTTTCTTTTACGGAGCGGCGAATCACCAAGGTAAAAGTGTTGGAGCAGTCCTGGTATTAGAATCTGGTCAACACTATCCTATGGCAGCAAAGCTACGATTCAATTGTACAAATAACATGGCTGAATACGAAGCCTGTATTCTTGGTTTGAAAATGGCCGTTGACATGAATGTTTACGAGTTACTGGTTATCGGAGATTCAGACCTTTTGATTCATCAGGTTCAAGGTGAATGGGATGTGAAGAACCTAAAAATTATACCTTACGTATGGTATGTGCAAAATTTGTGTAAAAGGTTTCGCAAGATCGAGTTCAGACATACTCCCAGAATACAAAATGAATTAGCTGATGCTCTGGCCACCATCGCTTCGATGATCAAACATCCGGATACCGATTACATCGACCTGCTAGATATAGATTTGAAGGAACATCCAGTCTATTATTCACACGTTGAATCAGAACCAGACGGTTTGCCTTGGTATTTTGACATAAAGAGGTACTTGGAGTCTGGGACATATCCAGAAGACACTACATCTAATCAAAAGAAGTCGATACGTCGCATGACTCTCAATATCTTTCTGAATGGAGAAGTCCTATATAGGAGGACTCCAGATTTGGGTCTTTTAACATGCGTGGATGCTGCTGAAGTTGTGAGACTTATTGAACAGATACATGCTGGAGTTTGCGACACACACATGAATGGGCTTACTTTGGCAAGAAAGGTTGTTCGAGCTGGATATTTCTGGATGACTATGGAGAATGACTATTGCAAATTCGTGCAGAAATGCCACAAGTGTCAAGTGCACGACTATTTGATACGGGTGCCACCTCACGAACTTAATGCTATGAGTTCACCTTGGCCATTTGTAGCTTGGGGAATTGATATCATCGGCCCTATAGAGCCGGCCTCTTCTAATGGACACAGATTCATTTTGGTTGCCATCGATTATTTCACCAAGTGGGTGGAAGCAGCCTCTTACACGTCGGTAACCAAGAAAGTGGTGGCCGATTTTGTCTGCAACAATCTGATATGCAGATTTGGAGTTCCAGAATCCATCATTACTGATAACGGTGCAAATCTCAATATTCATCTGATTAAAGAGATATGTAAACAATTTAAGATTACTCGTCGAAGGTCAACTGCTTATCGCCCTCAAATGAACAGAGCTGTAGAGGCCGCCAACAAGAACATCAAAAATATTCTGAGGAAAATGATTGACAAACAACGAGGTTGGCATGAAATGTTGCCATACGCTCTGCTAGGTTATCGAACAACGATCAGAACGTCGACTGGGGCTACCCCATACTTGCTAGTATATGGAACAGAAGTAGTCGTACCTGTTGAAGTCGAGATACCGTCATTGAGGATCATCCAAGAGGCCGAATTAAGAGTAGGTTAGCAAACGGATTGATCAACTAGTTTTGATTGATGAAAAGAGGATGGTCGTTGTTTGCCATGGCCAGTTGAATAGACAAAGAATGACTTACGCTTTTCACAAAAGAGTAAGAGCCAGAAATTTTGATGTTGGTCAGTTGGTTGTTAAGCGTATTTTTCCTCATCAAGAAGAATATAAAGGAAAGTTCACACCAAACTGGCAAGGTCCTTACATGGATCGTAAAGTACTATCTGGAGGTGCTTTGGTTTTGTCCGAGATGGATGGCACTGTATGGCCCGAACCTATCAACTCAGATGCTGTCAAGAGATACTATGTGTGAAGTTTCATTTTGCACTTTTGTTGTTGTTTACTTGTAATCGTTCTGTTTGCTTGTATTTTGTTCAATTTGAATTCTTATCCCTCTTTGTAACGAACTACGTCTGACCCGAATTCTTGAGAACGAGATACGTAGGTGGCCTATCTCGGCTTCGGTCACCCCATTTAACCCCTTTAATCATTTCTTTGTATCTGAACTATGTTCGACCTGAATTCTCAAGAATGAGATACGTAGGCGGCCTTTGTCGGCCTCGGTCGGTTTCTTTGTAAGTTTTATTCTTGTTAACCTTCAGGGGAACTACGTTCGACCTGATTCCCGCCTCAACGAGATACGTAGGCTTCACAAGGGTCGGTCATATCTCTCGTAAGATTTCTATTCCCCTTTACAATAGAAACCGGGATAGAATATTTGAGAGGATCTCAAAAATTCCGCGATCTGTTCAGTTACAGTGAAAACATGAGCAAGACAGTACACTGGGACAGAAATTTTGAGGATGGCTTCAAAATTTAGTTATGGGTGTTCCCTTCAAGTCCAGAGTATCTCCGAAACTCATCAGCAAATGTTGGATTCAAGGGAGCTCGTTAAGCCTAATATGACATGACTTGGAAGCGACTTTTTCAACATACTATTTTTTAAGAATTCTTATTTCTCTTAAAATTTCCCTTTTATGTTTCATTTGTTTTGGCATAAGATATTTTTCTTACCTATCCAGAGTTGGGAATTCGGGAAATCAACCGGAGATATCAAGACGAGGAGCAAACAGTTGAAGAAATCGACACAGATCAGTATGTTTTAAAACTAACAATTTTTCTGTGGATGTGGGTTCATAGTTTTGCTTTGAAATCGGCCGAATTCTTCCGATGGATGAATACGGAGAGCTCCCAAAGAGGAGAAAACTATCTCCAAAACCAGTGATTTTACTAAAAGCAGGAGGCATTTCATATTGCTTGTATCAGGATGCTTGGGAATGTGTTTGTTTATTTCAAGACATTCCCAACAATATGAAATCTACAAAGGTGCCTAGCCAGATTCAGAGGTGAATCAAACAGGAATCTCAACGAGGATTTCACGATTTCTATAGAGGACGCTATTTGCATTACGTTATCAAGACAAGATAATTATTGTCAATCAAGACAATGCATTACCCCAGAAGAGATAGTTATTTTATTACTATTTGTTATTATCGATCACATCGGTATATTATTTGGAGGTCATTTTGCCATTATTATCAACACAGATGATAAATATTCATGCATCGCGGAGAATCATGTGTTGCCGAAAAATCATGCATCGCGGAATTCATACACTAAAGAATCATGCATCACAGAATTCATACAGTAAAGAATTATGCATCACAGAAATCATGCATCGCGGAAGTCATACCGCAGAAATCATGCATTGCGGAAGTCATACTACAGAAATCATGCATTGCGGAAATCATGCATCGCGGAAAAGTCATGCATTGCGGAAATCATGCATTGCGAGTCAACTATTATGCACGACGAGAAGACTTCATGCCTCGTCAAATTTTATACATCGCGAGAAGATTTTATGCCTCGCTGAAATTTAGACATCGTGAGAAGAATTTATACCTCGCTGAAATCTGTGCATCACGAGAAGAATCCATGCCTCGTTGAAAATCATGCATCACGGAAAAATCATGCATTGTGGAAAATCATGTATTGCGAGTCAACAATTATGCACGACGAGAAGGATTTATGCCTCGTCAAAATTTATACATCGCGAGAAGATTTTATGCCTCGCTGAAATTTAGACATCGCGAGAAGAGTTCATACCTCGCCTACAATTATGCACGACGAGAAGATTTCATGCCTCGTCAAAATTTATACATCACGGGAAGATTTTATGCCTCGTTGAAATTTAGACATCGCGAGAAGAATTTATACCACGTCGAAATTTACGCATCATGAGAAGAATTCATGCCTCGTTGAAATTTTGCACATCGCGAGAAGATTTCATGCCTCGTTGAAAGTTATGCATCGCGAGAAGATTCATACCTCGCAGGAATTTATGTATCGCGGAAAATATTCATGCCCCGCAAGAGGACATACATTGATAAAGAAAGAGCAACGCGTATCCATTGGCCTCGATTGCATTCTGTTATTTCTTATAAAAGTAAACATCAAGAAGAGCATCGAAAATGACGACAAAAGAGACATCAATATCTCATCAACATTTATTTATTTATTTTGACATCAAATATAGAGTACATTGAAGATTATATTGCAAAGCACAAGGCATAAGCTTTATTTGCTGGACGTCAGACCGATCGAGTCAACGTCGAATATTGAGGAGAACAATGAGGTGTTGACATGGTAAAAAGACACTGTCTCCCATCCTAATTGCATTTTTAAGCTGACGAGTTTTATCTCAGTCTTTGTCGAGAGCATCCAAAAAGACGAATTCTCCAAAAACCACAGGTGCGAATGACATCAGAAAGGATGCAGCACAATGTGGAACTTTTTCTTAGCAGCGAACTGGGACACAGTCCAAAGTGGAATATCACACTCTTAGGACGCGAGCAGAGGAGCGACTTCCACCAAGATCGAGCCACCCCTCTCGAGGCATGTAGGTTTTTCCTTAGTTCTGTCCGTTTCAGCCTCGCATCCGAAAGTTTTATTTTATCAGAAGCCATTTTCAAATCTAAGTGACAATGCGTCAAGAGCTTTGGAAATTATGTCCGTGTAAGTTCTTAATTATGTGTGTGAAGTGCGCCACATTCATGGGTAAGGGGTTACAAGCCTCTTTTTCATACTCGTTTAACTTGTCACTTGTTCAAAACCGAAGGTTATCTAGCATAATAGGTTTCCTTTTCCACCGATCGAGTCGAACTACACATAGCCTGATTCCGAAGGCTTAAGAATATGTAGACGATTCAATGATGAAAACTCGGCTAAATTCCAACATTTGCTCTCGAATTCTATTCTCGAGCATTCCGATACCTTCATAATCCGGTATCGAAGTGGCTTTTGATTCTTTCAAAATCATGCGGTGAATCAAGCTTATCGAACTACAAGTGGCCTGAATTCTCATATAGCCTGAGATATGTAGGAAACCCGTTTGCAAGGGTTCGACCATAATTCCTAAACTCTTTGTCAGATCCCTCTTTTTAAAAAGCGAATGGGGTTGGTCAATTTCATTTTCCTCGAGTTGCTTGCATCAACCCAAATAAAATGAGGGACAATTGTTGACACCTAATTTTGACCCGTGTCGGTATAAATTAATTATCGAGCTTCCTAAATTTTTTGAATATTTTAAACTAATCATTTTTATAAATTTTACGAATATAATAATATAATACATGAATGTTATGTTACTGCGAATAGCTTTTATCATAAATTTTTAGGTGATATACATATTTACATAATTATGTATATAAGTAGTATATCTTATGATTATTCAAAAAATCATCAAAATATACATTTAAAGGTTTTATTAAACTAGTTAATTTAAATTATAATTATACGTTTGAATCACGTTTTGTGATTTTTAATAATTATTTTATTAAACAAGGAAGCTCGTTAATTAGTTGATACAAATTCGTCATTTTAATTGGTTGTTTATTAAATTAATTCCAACATTCCCAGGCCCACCTTTTTGCTTATTTTACTCTCAGCCCAATTTCCTTTCAACCCAACACTGTCCGGCCCATTCCCAAATTTCAGACAACAAATTAATTTCCAGACCCAAACTTTTTAACGGCCCACTTCATTTCTTTTAAACAACGACCCAATCCAACTCCGTTCCTCACCCAACCAAACACTAAACTCAAATACCCCACCCGCTGACCCGACGCCTACAACCCGACCCACACCCCATATCATCTCTTTCTCCTCACTGCCATTCCCAGCAAAAAACAGAAAATGCAGATCCCCTCCCCGGACGCGGCTTCCTCCCCCAAAACGGAAACTCAGAAAACAGAACCAAGAACAGAAACCCCCCCAAACGCCCCCGCGTCTCCCTCACGCACAACTCCCCCTCTCATCTCCCTCCCCTCGTCTCCCTCACGCGACCTCTCCAATGCGAACTTTCCCTCCCTCCCCTTTGTCTGTTTGTGCGTCCATTTTCAAAAGGGTGTACGGTGCTCGTACGAAATGGAGAGCAATGTGGCTTTATCGCAGCACTCCTCTCGTCCTTGCAACGAAATCAACGGTTGTTCGCTTCATGCCGTTGGAGAATCGTACAAGGAGCGTACTATCGACAGCTCTAATCTTATCCTTTAAGGGATTCCAATTTGAATTGGGCGGGGGGGAGAATTTCGATTTTACCCCAAACCTTTGACTAAAATTCCCCCGCCCTCCTAATCCAAAAACCCTAGCTTTTCACTCCTATATAAACCCCTTCCTTCTTCAAGAAAGGGGTTGGAATTTTAGAGAAAAAGTTTTAACGGGGAGAGTTGGGAATCGAAAGGAAAATTTGGGTTAGCGATTTTGGTTGGAAATTTTCGGAAAAAAACTTTGGCTATTCTGTTTGTCAGAGTTTAGATTTTTTAGAGTTAGAAATTTCGATCCGGAAGGTTTTGGGTTGAAATTTTGGTGGGAGAGAACTTGATTACAGAGAGAAAATCGAGAGCAAATCGTTGAGTCTTCTTCTGTTTATTTCCTTTTCGTGAGAACTGAAAGTATTACGGGAGGCGAGAGAAATTTCAAAGGGGTGGGCGAGTTGTTCGATTCCACGACCTCCATTTCGATTCAGCGTTAGTGTTTTCGTTTGGTGTGGAAGTCACTGCCGTTCGCCGCTCGTTCGTCTTCAGTATCGCTGCTCGCCAATAGGTAAATCTCTCATTTACGTAGCTTTCTTCTCTTCTTGGCTTTGATTGACGGATTGAGGGTTGGGAATCTTTTTGTGTGCCTACTGATCATGTTGTCGCCGTTGGGTTTGATACTGTTGGATGTGTTTTGCTGAAGTTTGCTTGTTCCTTTTTACATTTATAGCTCATTTGTTCCTGTTTGTTTCATTTGAGTAAAAATGTTATCTGTTTT